TACCAAAACTGTGGGAACTGCTTCTGTAATAAGATTTAATATTGCTCCTTTGGAAATGTCTGCATTGATTTCTGTCAGAGGCAGGATTAAATATATATAGTTCTTGTTTGTCTGTCTGTGTTCTATGCAGATCTTATGAAAGAGTCAAAGGATGTGAGCCTGAGTGTTGGATTTGTTCTCAGTATCGCCTCAATATGCAGAAGTATTCCTGTCCAAGCTTGAGCAATAGCCTTACATACATGTTTTCTGTGTATTAAAAATTCGGAATAAAGTAATTAAAGGCTGCTGGGAATGCAGGCACATGTAATGGTATGTTTTCCCTTGCCCCTTGCTCTTGCTGATACTCTAACCTTCATTCTCTTACTGTCTTTAGCAGAATGACACTTAGCTGTAGATTACAGGCACTGCCCTGGTCCTGGCATGTGTCGTCTCATGTCCACAGCTGCCCAGGCTGCTTAAAAGCCACAGGTTGGAATATTTGTGACACAGACTTGTAACAACTTATTGGAGTCTTTCCTCAAGGAAAATTTATGTTGCTCTGCTTAAGACTGCTAATTTTCCATCTAGAGGAGTTGACATGATCTGTGGATTTGAAGATAGTATTCTATGGGACAGCCTGAACTGGTGGTTTTTGTTTTATACTAGGTTTCAAAAATGGGTGTGGAGAACAAACTGCAGGATTTCATGCAAGCAGTCAATTTTGTGGGCTGTGTTGTGGATGCTGCAGGAGAATTGTGGCCCATCTGTTTATGCTGGTGTGAGCAGATGGGGAAGAAAAAAAAAAGCTTAATTCATGTTCATTAAATCCTATCCATTGCCCTTCCCGTTTCTAAAGTAAAAGCTGAAATCTTTCAGTGGGATATTATTTTGTGGAGAACTGGGTAAGAAAGAGTACCCATGTTTTAGTAAAAATAACTAACTAGTTTTAGGGTAGACAAGTTCTGTCTTCTGGAAATGTTTGCTAGAGGGAAAGTTTTCTGAGGCTGGAGTGCAAATATTTGGTCAGGCCCTGGCCACCAGCGTATGGCTGATGTGAGAGGGGCCTGTTGAGGCACAGGGCTCTCCTCATGGCATGGCTGTCCTTTGACAGCATTGCTGTGTAGCATGAGGGAGCCCACAGTTTTAGAAGATGTTCTGTACTCACAGCTTGGCTTGCCCTAAAACTCCAGCCTACAAATAGTGAGAAGGTATGGGTAAATAAAGGATAACTATTGTGAAGGTTGGCTGTCTGAATTACACACCCGGGCGTGCATTTGTTCTGGGTGACAGGATGCTGCCTTGAAAATCAGAACGTGGATCAATTCATTGCTGTCTGAGGACTGAATGGAGGATGACACTGCTCAACTGCTTTAATGCACTGACAGGGGGTAGTGGTGGTGTTCTTTGGGCTCCTTGCTGACAGAGCCATCCTTTGGGTATCTCTGAGGTAAAATAAGCGATGTTCACAGCTCTCGGTCACTGTATTTATTATTTGCTTCTAAACCAAAATGAGCTGTGGTCACTGAGGACCAGCACAGAGCTGTTAGCTAGAGAATTTTTAGTAGTTCTTAAGTTTATAACCATGCCAGGAATATTTGTGTCACAAATAAAAAATACCCTTTACCCAAGAGAACACAGGGGCTGGCAGCTTCTCACAGCACACTGCAGAAGGCCCCAACCTGGTAGGGGTCGTGGGCTTGAGGTGTTCCTGCCCACCTTGAAGAGATGCTCCAGCTCTGCACCCAGAGCCAGGCTTGGAGCTAATTTGAACTGAAAGACTGGAACGTTAGCCTTAACATGAGAAGTGAGCTATCTTCTAAAAGGATTTTAGAGACTTACAGCTTCAAATAGCTGCCTACTAAGATTTCTAGGCATATTTTTGTGATTTGCTGCCTGAAGTTTTTTGTTTTGTTTTGTTTTGTTTTTAAGTCTTTCTCTTTGATAATCTTGAGAACCTTTGGAAGTTTAGTAAGGGTAAATTTGAAGGTACGGGAGCTTGTGAGACAAGACAAAATTATAGTTCGATAACTTTGCTCTTACAGTTTGTGTTGAGATTTGTCTGTATACCTACCCTTGTGTTTCCAAGAAATGTAATGCAAAATGAACTTGTATAGAGCAACATACTTTGAGAAGGTTTCACGCACGTTGCTATGAGCTCTATGCAGAAATGGTAAGGGGTGAACACATTTTGGGGAATGGTATCTTTAGTACAGATGTCCAAGCCTTGCTGGTGGCTTCTCATGAAAGCTGTCCAGATACTTTTATTGTGCCTTTCAGTAGCTTTTCAGCAATAATTTCAAGATATGCAGTAATTAAAAAAACAACATGCATCTTTGAATTCCATTTTTAGTGACAGAGCTTGGATTTAAATAGATCTTAAAGGAGTATCGGAGATTTGGCCTGACAAGCAATAGGCTGGTGCAAATGGATGTAGTCTTCTGTTCCTGACTGCCTCCTAAATGATGGTGCAGAGGTTACTGCCAGTGCCAGGCTGTGAGGGCATTTGGGCTTTGCCCTTTCCCATCAGCTTTATCAATGGGGATTTGTATTCACAGCATAGCTGATGATTCATTTCAACACGTGGCTGAATACTTATAGCTCTTTCAGCAGCACGTGTGTTGGCATGGCAATCAAAATGAAGCAAGATGTGCTTGCGCTTGGCTCTTGAGGAAGGTGTGTGATGTGTGGCACTTCTCTGGTTCTACCCACACTGTGAGTGTTCCTGGTATAATCTGAGATTGTGGTTCTTATTGATGTTAATCTGCCTTTTCAGAATGGCAGTAGGACTGTTACGTTTCCTTTTTTTCTTACTGTACTGTCAGAAGGATTACGCAGCATGGTACAAGTGCTGGGAAAGCAGAGCTTCAGAGCACACTTTCCTTCAACTACCCTGTTAGTTCTAAAAATTATTTGTGACCTTCTGTTCAGATTTGGCAACTGCAAAATGGGGCTTTGCAGCCAAGGCCTTAGAGCACGTGTGACTCGACTTCTGAGCACAGTCAAGTGTGTTTTAATTATACATTATAGGTAAGTATGTAGGGAAAGGTAAAGATAAGAGGAAATACATCTTTGCTCCCTGGTATTTTTGTCCAACTTCAAGCGAAATACCATGTTCTGCAGGTTGGATTTGAGTCTTTTGTCGACTTGTCAAGTAAATATTAAGCCCTTGCCAAGATGTTTGCATCATTTGCCCTCAAGATAGGGTTTAATTGCTATTTTTTTCAATAAATTAATTTGCTGAATAAAATTTGTGCTTCTAAAGAAGTAGATTTTCTTTGTTTCTTGTTTATGGGATAGTGGTGTTTTTTTCTGAGAAATTTAAAACATCCTCTTTCATTTTTGCATTTTTGTCAGTATTACAAAGATAATGTGGAAAAGTTACAAGTTCTGGGATGTCTGGGATGTATCTGCTTTAGCCAGTCTTCTCGCTTCACAGAGGGAAGAATAAATATGGAAGGAAGTGTGAGGACAGAAGGACCTTCACTGCTCGTTTCCCTTCACCTTGTAGGAGTTAAGTTATGGCTGCAGCTAATTAAGTAAAGATGCTGCTCCAACCGTGTTATCTCAGGTGTCTTATTAACTGAAGGGAGAACGTAGGAGGAAATGAAACTCCCTCCTTCTTGCTTCTTCACCTGCTGGAGCATTTATTTCCCCTTGTCCATATGTGTGCTGTGAGAACGCTAAGCGTAACAAATGGTGTTTGCATTTAGTTCTGAACGCACTGAGGTCCGCGATCGCTCTCATCTCAGCAAACACGGGCTCTGCAGCCTGCCTGGCCGCCCAGCAAGGTCCCACTCTGTGCCTGTGATGGATGGGTTTGCTGCTCTAATGAGGCATGGCTGTTGTTGGAGGTCACAGTCACAGAAAGGGAGAGGCAATCTGTCTGCAGTGAAGGGCAGTTCTGTGCAGGCCTTGAATACCAAGGCACAGACATAGCGTCTCATTTTTTATTCGGTGTAGGAGACCAGTATAGGGCGGAATCTGAAGGTAGAAGCCAGGCGAGTTGTCTAACTTGTATTCCCTCCTTTCTAGACTCATTTTAGACTTTCAAAGCCAACGATGATAAGGATAACTGAGCACTTTTCAATCAGATCAAGAAGTAGCAAATTAAGAGTAACAATTTATGTTGATTGAATTGTTCATAGTTGGACTAGTGAACCATAGCTGTAGAACTGAATACATTTCCAGTCCCCTCACACATCTATTGGTTTAACAGCATTTGTATTTAAGGTCTAAAAATGAGAATTATTTGTCGTGGTAGATTTGATAGTCTAACTGATTAGCCTAAAGACTGTGTTTGAGTACTGCACATTTGGCTGATTTCTGTTTGAGGAGAAAGAAGATAAAACACTTTCTCTAAGGATGAAGAATGTTTCTGCTCTCAGGCCTTTTAAGAAAGGCTTAGGAAGGGGAGGGATGAGCACATCTCCCTCTGGGCTCAACTGCATGAAATTTATCCACCGTTGTTCACTCATATTTCTGTTCTTGGGTTTGTTCTTTGACTAACTGTAGGTTGGCAGTAATTGCCAACATTGTTGGTATAGAATCAAAGCTAGGAAAGAGCAATGTGTTCTCCAGAAAGTTGGAAATTTGATTTATGTGTAGACTTTGTAAAGCAGAGTGTGTTGTATGCCTGTTCACTGAACACACCATTCAGGAGTAAAATATGTAACATGAAAGCAGTTTTTTCTTTGTTGGTTTTCTTTTGTTTGTTTAAGGCTTTATTTACTTCAAAACTGTTGATCTGAACAGTTTCAGGTGGAAGTATCTAATGTTGTGCAAGTATGGGTCTAATTACAGATGTGCTTCTGGTTTGATATGAAAGTTTATTGACTTGTCTCTTTTCAGCCCAGTTCATCATACTACTGCCTAAACAAACAGCATATATTTATAGGAGAGGAGGGATTTCATGTACTGATACTTACATTATATGAGGCTTAAATTTCTTTTTAAAAAAAAAATCTTAAAAGCAAACTTTATTTATATATATATATAAATATATATATATATTTGTTTTACAGGTTGATCCTGCTTTGAAGGAAAAATTGAAGCAGAACAATGTGACGTTGGAATCTGAATATAAGGTAAAATAAATCTGTTGCTTGGGGCTCATAACCTTGGCTCCCCTTTATTACCCTAGCTGCTGGTGGGGTGGGTCTGTCCCTATCTAAAATTAGATCAGCCATCTGCCTTGGACTCACTGATGTCCAATAAAAATAAGGTTTTATGTAAGGGAAGATTTTTGAACATGCAGTGCTTCTTTCTGAAAACAGCTTTACTTTGATGTCCAGGTGCCTACAAATAAATTTGACTATGTGTGTGGTTTACCTGGTCTATAAAAGTAGAGCTGATGCTGGGCTTAGATGGTATGATTATGTGTATATGTCAACACTTCTGCTACATAAGTTTTGATGCTCTTTAGCCTGAACAGTGTACTTGATATGCTGCCTCTTACCGTTTTCTTGCTTTTTAAACTTCTGTATAGCTTTCAAACAACCGTGATTACTTTCTCACCATTTCAGGAAATTTTATAGAGAAATATTTCTTTCTTTCCTCCACAGTACATTTTCTTCAAATATTACTGAGCTTCAAAATAGCTATTTTGTCCAGTTTAATATTTAGAGTTTCATAAATCTTCAGGTCTGCAGAAAGCCTTGTTAGGAGAACTGGAAAAAGGCTCCTTGTATCCAGAAGCAAAGCATAAAGCTAATTCAGATAATTTTGATGTTTTAAAATTGCAAATCAGATGTCTAGTCAACACTCTGTCTATCACCGTGGTCTTCCCGGTGATTATGGCATTCAACATTCCTGTCACAAGCCCTTCAAGAGCTTGATTGCACCCATAGCTCTCACACTTAAGTGTCCAAATGGTGGTATGTGGTCTTGCTAATAAAACCTTTCTATTACATTACTCTTCTGTGACTCATCTGTGAAAGAACTCTCAACCTTTTGCACTTTTACCTATGTAATTTTGCAGAGCATCTGCCTACTTGCTAGACTTATGACAATGTTTTACCATTACTGAAAATAATTTGGAGCTGTGTTCTATAACAAACTGTGTTCTTTGGTGTGGGAAATAAAAAGTTTTGATCTTTAAGTACATGTGGAAAGCTCAAGTGGAAACTCAACACATACAAATCCAGTCAGTTCTGAATGCCTCTGCAATTACTCTGCATCTCGTTTTCCATAGAATATAAGTGTGTCCACTCTGATTCATTTATATGGAAGAACCACAAGCAGTAAAAAGAACCGCATCTCTATTTTACTTGCTGCCTAACCACAAAATCAACTGATCTGTATTCAGATATGCTTAGATTTCTTTCCAACAAGATAAGTAAATAGTTGAAGGGTAATATTTAAATGGCCATAATTGCATCAGCTTTATGGAGAAATCAATGGTAATAGGATGTGGCCCGCATAACAACATATTACAAGCCTACTCAGGTAATGAGGTTCCTTCCTGATGGACAGAAGTGACAGAAGCAATCTTACTTTTTCTTAATTTAAACTGCTGAGAGTTCTCATGCTGAAAGTTTTCCAAAGCAGTGCTTGGGTTCTAGGGAGGGCAGACCAGTATAGGAAAACAAATGGATGTGAATTTCCACATAATTAGAAGAGATCCAGATCATTGTTTTGGTCTCCGGTCTCAACGTGTACTTTACTGTGAGCGCTGACCCGCAGGCAGGAGGCATACTCATTCCTTGCTTCAGTGAAGCTGGCGGAACCACCAGCAGTTCGGCAGTCAAGCGTGTACTTCACGGCCTCTCTGTCACTATTTGACAGTTTTAATCAATACTTACTGCCTCTCTATTCTGATGGACAAAATCTAACCAATCACCGAGTTACCGCTGACATTTAGGAGAGCACTTTTCTGCGGACCCCATGTGGTCCAGCTCTTAAGAACATCTAATTCTATATTTAGGTCACATTGGAGGATTACACTGGTGGCTGTTTCTAAATTTGGTGTGATAAAAGATCAAGGGCAGTTTCAAAAAAAAGTTGCTGTTTTAATATGTGAAGCCTTATTTTATGATATTATAAGCATTATATCTGCAGCTGTTACTGAGGGGACCAAGCCAGCTCTTCTGAAGCATGATTGCTTGATGCATGCAAATGTCCATTGCTCTCCCCTCACAATGACTTTTAAAGTTATCTTCTTGCCCTTACAAAAGTCTACATTTTGAATATGTACTGGATTCTTTTAGAATGTAATAATTTCTGCTTAAGGATATACCTTTATTGAATTATTACAGACGACAACAACAGTTCTCCTATTTCATGCCTGTTGAAGTCTGCACTTTTTCTTCAGTGTGATGTGGTGGTGATGAGAAAAGATGTAATCACAGATACAATCAACTTACAGCAAGAAAATTAACAAAGATGTTTTTATCATCTTGTTTATTAACTACTACTCCCTCAATCTAAACAAACTTTACCATTTATTCATATAGGAATGTTTTTGGAAAGTGTGCTGATTTGAGCAAGATTGTATTTGCATCTGAATTATGTACTCTTATGTACTCTTATGCATTTCTTATATCTGAGATCTGTTAGTAATGCCATTCATTACGAGATTGTACCTCATAGGAACAAGCTACCTTTGTGTGTGTTCTCTGTTGTTTAGGCATTCCTCTCACACACTTCTGTGTCCTCATCCAGCCAATTAGTCCTTGCTGCTCCCTTTTGCCTAATAAATCACAGCTCTGTCCACTAGTGTCACTGGTACTAATAGAAATGTAGTTCTGCTGCTGAGCTGTGCCTTGTAGAACACACTGTAAAAAATGTCAAGTTCTTGACCTGTGACAAAAGTCTAGAGTATTGTATTTGAAAGTGCAAAAAGACTGTTTGGAAGAAAGGGGTAAAGAACTGATTATGGTGATGAGTAACAAACTTTTTGTGGATACCTAACAATCAGAATATATTCCTTGTCATTGTTTAAATGTGATGCCAAAATTGCATTCCTTATTTTGGCATTTTGTTTCTGTACTTTTGTGAAAATAGCGATGTAGTAGACAGTAAAAAAAAAATGATCCTGCTTCAAGTCAGTCACATCGGACCCTGAAATAAAGAATTGTTGTTTAGGGTTTTTCAAGCAAAAAACCCAACAGCCAATAACAACCTTAAGAAGAACATATTAATAACCTACAGAATTATAATTTTATGATGGAAAAATCAGTTGAGTTTAAACCAGATATGTTTTTAACCAGCAGGAACTGAAGTACAGTTAAATAATGTAAAATTATTGCTGTGAAAATAGTAAATGAGAAGGTAGAGAAGATTGATAAAAGGACATCACAGAGTTTTCTTTTAAGTAAGTTGACAGGTTGACATATCTAGGCAATACTGAGTTCTTTTTTCAGTGATCTGGAAAGAACTGTAAAATCATTACTGATGTACAAGTGACACCAAAGTATTGAAGTAGTCAAAGCGTGGCCAGGAAGGTGCTGGGACCTCTTCAGCATTACTTGGTAAGCGGGGCCCATCAAATGAGCGAAGTACTCGTTAAAAAAGCCTCCCTTATCTGTTAAAAAAATGGAAATGCAGGTCAGAGTGGACTGTGATGAAATGCAGCAACTCTGGAAAAGATTTAGGAGTCAGTGAATGAATAATTCAGATTGATCTTCCATAGTGGTGCTGTGGCATAAAGAGCTAATTCAGACTTTATAAATATAAACTGGAATGGCAGATAGTAGGAAGAGATGACTTTTACTTCTGAGTGTGTTATTGATGAAGCTCGTGCTCAAGTGCAATATCCGCTTCTGATGTCCACATCTTGAACAGGACTTTAGTAATCAAATAGGTTGCAGAAAAAGCTGAATATGTGCACTTAGGGCTTGAGAAAATGCCTCAAGGAAACTTTAAAGATTTGAATACTTTTGAAAGTGCGTAAAGGAACGCTAGTTGTATATAAATACCTTCATTAGAGGAAAGTGCCAGCTATTGAAGAGTTCTCTGGTGCAACAAAGATAGTAACAAAGGCCATTATTAACAGATAGGAACATCATTTGAACATAACAGGAAAAAAAAAAAAAAAGTCTGGCTTACAGAACATTAAATTGCAAAATTTTAAAGTTTTCCTTCAACTGGTTGTGAACTGTTGGGCTTGGCACAGGATAAGTGAGTAGAGTACAGTGCTGTGTGATTGTCTAGAGAACACTACTCCTGGTTTAATGTATCTGAGTGGTTTGCAGATTTTGTTCCTCGTAATTTGGTAGATCAAATAAAGGTCAGTGTAAGCTCTGAATGGACATCTCACTGTTTGTGTTGAGAATTATAGCAGAGGTATTGCAATGGCAGCGCTGAAATGTTTATCCAGGACAGTTAAAAAATCAAAATCAGAGGTATGGTGGGGTGGTTTGGAACTATAACCTGTGTATTTACTGTCTTAAGAGTATTCAGTAGATACATTAGAGGTACGGATGGGAGGACTGTACTGGAACATAATTCAGCAGAGGCTGAAATCTGCAAGCATCTTGTTGGTTCCCTGGTTGATACCAGAGGATTACTGACTTTGTTGTTATTGTTTGAGAATTAATGGATTGGCCTGTTTGATTGATTTACCTCAGTGTCTGTGAGCTAAATGCTAGTGGCTATGTATCTTGAGCTGTTTAAGAGATGTTAAAAATATTGGAGAAGAAAATCCACGCTGGTTTATGACACCAAGTGAGATGAGATGTTCCTTCTTCCTCTAAGCCCTTCCCATCTTTTCTTTGTCAGAGTGTTGTTAAGCAAAGCTGCTCCAGACAGTCATGGTTCTGCCTGTCTTCCAGGTTGTACATTGGACAAGCACTGGATGAAGCTGTTTGCATTTCAGTTACTCCAGTGTAAACTGAATTGGGGACTCTTTTTTTCACTGTAAGTCCTCATCACTTCTGGTTTTGTAGAGAAGGACAAAGTGGTGTTAGCTTGCCATAGAGACTGCCGTGGACAAGACAAGGGAAAGATTTTGGTTAAAAATACCTTGCACTAGTAGTTTTATTCTGAGTGTGTATGCAATCCATACCCAAGCAGTTTTCTCCTCCTTCTTGCACTCTCAAAGCTCTAGTGCCTCAAAATGTGATTAAAAGAAACGGAACAAACAACA